CCACATACTCTTATTAGAATCAACGTAAAAGTTAAACATAATTCATAATTTAATGGCTTCGTCCAATATTTGTTTTGAATAGTATGGCATAATTTACAAATTAATTAACTTTCATCACCAGAAATTGTGATTGATCTTTCACATTATGATATGATCATTTCTTCTATAATTGGACTTTGCTGAAATTGACTATTAGCATAGTAAACATCAATCAACCTGCAGTTAATTATAAATTTGTACTTTAAGGGATTGTTATTTTGCCTTGAACAATGATATCTCAATCACAAACAACTTTGATCACAAGAAACTGAGATTTTGATTTTGACATTATGATATGATCATTTCCTACGTAATCTATATACATAACTGAGAGACTAAGACTAAGACCTTAATCTTGTATTTATCTTATTTATACCAATGTAATCAAAGCTAATGCCTTCCAACACCTAGAGAACATCAACGTACTAAATAAATATAAATTCATACTTTAAAGTCTAACTTTTGCTACGAATGATGATATGACAATTACAAACAACTTTAGTCACAAGAAATTGTGATTGATCTTGACAATATGATCTGAGCATTTCTCCCGCATACTGTGAGTCATAATAATTTCTCCTTCCATTTTATATTATGTGAGGATATTTGATTGAGTACGGAGTTTAAAAATTTTAAAAAGATTTTTAACATGTAAGACAAACATAGTATAAGAATACAAAAATTATCCTTTTAAATGAGTAGTGGTGAGGGTTGAAATATCCTTTTATTTTCTCTCTCCTTATAATAAGATGAATGTTATATCGAGTGAGATTTCAACAAGTCTTGGCACTAAAAGTAAATTAGAATTCTGAGATTAAATAAAAAAATATTACAAAAGTAAAGTATCACATAAAATGAGACATAAGGAGTACTAAAAGAACGGATGAATTCTTCTTATATAGAATTTTTTTTCCCTAAATTTGTCACACCATTTTGTATGAAGTATGAAAAGTAATTATGAAGGATAAAAGAACAGCTGCTCCTTCTGTGCTTTACTTTTCCAATTCTGTTTTCATGTAACAACATTATTTCTTTCTGCTGGCAATTTTCCATATATATAAAACGAAATTAAGCAACTATTTTTGCATGAATAATGGTTGTATCACGACGTGGATGAATGTATTATTTCCCATCGTTTTCCTTCATCTTAAGTCCAGTTGACAATAACTAAGATGCTGGCAATTAAAAATTGGAATTTTATTATAATCATAATAACACATGAATTTCCAGCTGAAATCCCGAAAATTCAGCTTTATTGGTACAAAAAAGTCTCAAACTATATAGAAAATCTAAGATAAAAAAAATAGAGAAAAAAAAGAATCATATACAATAACATTGTAATACTATTATCTACTTCAACAAGTTAGCTAAAGCAATGGCCAAGAAAGTGACTGGCAATGTTGCAAGAGCCAAAGATGGTGCAGCAGCACTTGGTGGAGGCGGTGGTATAACCGGAGACTCGATCGATGGCATAGATGGCATGGCAGAAGATGGAGGTGTAGGGGCAGAGGGGATACCAGATGGTGGAATGACACTAGGGGAAGGCAGAGGCGTAACTGGAGAATCGGCCAATGGCGTCGATGGAATCGCGGCGGGAGACGGTGGGTTAATAATGGATAAAGGTGTTGGGGCAGAAGGGCTCCTAGATGGTGTAGGTCCAGGTGCTAGAGTTGCCACTGGTGAAGGAGCAGATATTGGGGTGGTTGTTGTTGCAGTAGTAGGGTTGGCAGGAGCAGATACTGGAGTGGTTGTTGGAGGAATAGTACGCTTGGGTCTTGGTGGAGTAGCTGGGGTGGCAGGAGCAGATATTGGGGTGGCTCTTGGTGGCTTAGTAGGGGTGGTCGGAG